GGTTGTGTGGCGATAGGCGCTTGCGGTATTTTTTTAATCATCATAAAAAATAAAATTAACCAGTAAGTGCCCCTGGTTGTGTGGGGATAGGTGCTTGCGTTATTATTTTAGTTATAGTTATTTAAGTAAGCGACCAGTAAGCTTCCCTGGTTGTGTAAAGATAGGCGCTTGCAGTATTATTTTATTCATCATAAAAAATAAAAGCAACCAGTAAGTGCCCCTGGTTGTGTGGGGATAGGTGCTTGCGTTATTATTTTATTTATTGTAATTTAAGTAAGCGACCAGTAACCACCCCTAGTAGTATGAGGATAGGCGCTTGCGGTATTAGTTTATTCATCATAAAAAATTAAAGCAACCAGTAAGTGCCCCTGGTTGTCTGGGGATAGGCACTTGCGGTATTATTTTATTCATCATAAAAAATTAAAGCAACCAGTATGTGCCCCTGGTTGTGTGGGGATAGGCGCTTGCGGTATTATATTATTCATCATAGAAAATAAAAGCAACCAGTAAGTGCCCCTGGTTGTGTGGGGATAGGNATAAATAAAATAATAACGCAAGCACCTATCCCCACACAACCAGGGGCACTTACTGGTTGCTTTAATTTTTTATGATGAATAAAATAATACCGCAAGTGCCCATCCCCAGACAACCAGGGGCACTTACTAGTTGCTTTAATTTTTGATGATGAATAAACTTATACCGCAAGCTTCTATCCTTATACTACTAGGGAATGTTACTGATCGCTTACTTAAATTACAATAAATAAAATAATAACGCAAGCACCTATCCCCACACTACCAGAGGCACTTACTAGTTGCTTTAATTTTTCATGATGAATAAAATAATACCGCAAGTGCCTATCTCCACACATCCAGGGGCACCTACTGGTTACTTTAAATATTTCTGGATAATGAAATAATACCGCAAGCGCCTATCCCAACACAACCAGGGGTGGTTACTGGTCACTTACTCAAATAACTATAAATAAAATAATAACGCAAGCACCTATCCCCACACAACCAGGGGCACTTACTGGTTGCTTGAATTTTCTATGATGAATAAAATAATACCGCAAGCGCCTATCCACACACAACCAGGGGCACTTACTGGTTGCTTTAATTTTTTATGATGAATAAAATAATACCGCAAGTGCCTATCCCCAGACAACCAGGGGCACTTACTGGTTGCTTTAATTTTTTATGATGAATAAACTTATACCGCAAGCGCCTATCCTCATACTACTAGGGGTGGTTACTGGTCGCTTACTTAAATTACAATAAATAAAATAATAACGCAAGCACCTATCCCCACACAACCAGGGGCACTTACTGGTTGCTTTTATTTTTTATGATGAATAAAATAATACCGCAAGCGCATATCCCCAAACAACCATGGGCCCCTACTGGTTGCTTTAACTTTTTATG